GAACACACGATCAAGTGTTAGCATTTGCAACATCTACAATATTTCTAAATAAAATTGAAGAATTTATAAGGCCGATATCATAGGTGCGAGAAACAATAATTACATGCATTGAATTCAAAAGCATAAAAAATATCACCACATGTCCGTGACCACTAATTTGGCATCAGTTTTAAAAACTAGAGGCTGATCGTCATCATACCTATCTCTTTCATAAATAACGACTTGAAAAACTGCAAAACTAATAATATTTTTAAGTTATTACTCAAAAGTTATGAAACGTTATATGTTTATTTTATTTAAACCATTGGAATATCCTTCATTAAACGTACTTTACGAAATCTATGTACTTTGAATTATTACTCATACTAATAAGTATGAGTACAAATTTGCATTGGAAACTTTTCTTCAATATCGGTTTCACTGTGAAATTCAACATACAATATTAAGATATGTATGTTGTCAAATATCATGTTCTACTTTGAAAATTAAGTTTCGTTTTACTTGTCTGATTTTTTTGTTATATTCAAACATTTTAGAAAATTTTGAAAATGTGTTAAAAATTGTTTTGGATTCTGGTCAAATAATTTTTTGTACAGCGTTATTTTTAAGATATTCATAAGCGTTTTGTTGTAAATATAAATATATGTATTGTTATTAGAATTCTTGGGATTTGAATTGCGGCAAGACATGTAATGTCTCAGGTGTAATCAAACACGTAGGAAATCTTTTAGTCAAAATTACTGTTTGATAATTTACACGCCGGATTGAAAATTGCGGCAGATGATTTATGATGAACTAAAATATTTAAATATAGCTTACTTTCCCAAAAATAATTAATCACTTCCTATTCTCTCTAAACAAAGATTTGTTCCGTATGCCTATCGTAAATATCAAAGTATTTATATATATATATATATATATATATATATATATATATTTATTTATATAAATATGAAATGATAATTTTTGAATAAGTATTGTCTTTTGCCTAATACATGTATGCAACTTATAAATGCATTTATTGTATCTATAATTAATAATTCTGTCACATAAATATAAATATGAAATGTAAATTTAGAATTAATATATGTATAATTTGAGAGTAAATACAAATCGCAATAGTAATTCTTACGAAATTTATGGCGAGTTTTTCACTAGTCTAAAATTATATAATAAGTGGTGCAAAATGTTCTAACGTTGTTTTGATTTCAGGATTGCTCTAAGTATATTTATGGAAAACATATATAATTTTATTCTATTTAAAAATATTTGCGTTCACATAATTGCAACACTATTGTACTACTTTTATATTACTATTTCCTCACTTTTTCATATTATTTAGTTCTTTCTGACTCTAGACATATTAAGAACGTTTCCATACGATACTTATTATGTTATTCAATGATTATCATTTATAACTCTTCATTTTATTCAAAACATAAGATAATTAATTCATCATTTTTATTTACTGATTTGTCATAAAAATGTTGAAACCAAGTTAGTTTTGTGAATTCATCACCTTATTCTATTTAAATTTATTTTTTCTTTAAATAATTTGCATAAACCATTTTCTTACAAATCACGAAGCAAAGCACATGTTTGCAAGGTTTATTTATAAAATCCATAAAAGCTGTGTACATATTTTTTTTAATTTTTATTTATGATCCATTGATACTACGCTTTAAATGCAAAATAATTATAGTTCATGTCTAAAGTAGCCAGTTATTAATAAATAACCTAAAATAAAGATGGATTTTCAAATGTTTAGATTAGCAAATGTAAAGTTAAATTCCCCATTCGCTTTGTATACATTCACAATATTCGGATATCCCTATCGTTTCATAATGGGATTTTTAAAAATAATACGTCGATGTTCAGTGTAATAATGAACAATCATATATTATAAGAGCTATCTTGTTGAACATAATAAATTTTCTAGCCTTATAATTGAACATTTAAGTGTTGTAAAATTTTTGGAACAATGATCCAGAAAAGTAATTTAAAGATGAAAGTGTTCATCAATACATTTGTTATTGATGTGAGCACATATTTTATGACAAAATATATTTGCAAGTCAATGTAAATTTTGTGAAAACTTGTTGTTCTAAATATATCAAGAATGTAGAATTGTTTATCCAATCTGAAATATTGCATAGACAATAAAGTATTATATTGATGACATACATATATTTTATTTATTGACTTATAATTTATTTTTAATATTCATTTTATTATATGCAGTGGTGCCTCACTTAACGTGCTGAATTCGCTTTGAAAGTAATTTATTTTGAGAAACGCTTTGAGGCAAATTGCTAGAATTTTCCGTACTATAATTAAACATTTGAAGAATAAAAATAATCAAATTTACAAGTTGCCGTTTGCTTAGTTGTCAAGGTATTTGCCAAAAAAATAGTATGGATAGAAATTCAACCAACCGAGGACAATTTTATAACTATATTATATCGATATTTTTATACAACTTCAAATGGTTTATTTACAAGTTCTTATCATTAAATGCAGCATTGGTGGTCTATGTTTGTTGAAATACTGACAGTGATCGGACTACCAAGTTCATTACGGTTGTTGTTGCTGAAGAAAGGAGTATGCATTCTTCAATATTGCATACAGTTTTTCATAGGATTTATTATTGGTTATTTTATCTTTTACAATATGTGTGTAAAGTTTGATTTTTAAATCCATTTAACACGATTTTTATACAACGGATTGTACGTTAAATCCGATTTTCTTATAGCACGGTTTCCATATTACACGGTACGGACTCCCTGGACACGGTATGATGTACTGCCTAAATTTTAGGCAGTAAGTAATTCAAAGTTGTTTATTATATGCAAAATTCTATATTTCTTTAGAATATTTTTCATACGATTTTTAGCACAACAACAGATTTTACTCTAAGTTGGAACAAAAGACACCAAAATAGCAATTTCGAAAAAAAAATTCTGATATGAATGAGTGTATGTATGTTTTCTTCACACTTATAACTAATTTGTCATATTATAAATAAATATTACACATGTACTAGTACTTATCATTTTTTGTATAGAGATATGATTTCCGCGACTGCCTTATTTCGCACATCAATACATAAAATAAAATTTCTTATCTTTTGTGTGTTCATATATGAAATGCTATAGCTGACAGCATTTATTTCAAATTTATTGCTTGCAGATTAATTACAATTTTTTTTTAAATTTATTATTTGTGATACAGTTTTGTGAATCTAATACAGTTTGCATAAAATAGTTCTTATAATACAATAAATAAAAATTTAAAATTTAATTTGTAATTACAAGTGAAACAGAGAGGCGACGCCCATGCCAAACAAATTAAGGTAAACAAATAACAATCAAAATTTTAAAATTTACTTAATTTATTCACGTATGATATTAAAGTTTCGTTTAATTAATGTTTACTAATATTGGACGTTTTAATTTATATAAATATATGTTATATTTTTTAACAAATTCATTGTTTTTTTCCATGTAGCTATATATTTGCATGTGGTGGCGTTACCAAGTTGTAATAATATTATTAAAAAAAGTGTAAGTAATATTATTATTAATAAAAAAGTTTTAAGTAATATTAAATATTACACAAAAGTGGCATGTGAAAAATTGTTTAACTAGTTGGTTTGGTATTTAGCCTTGAGGCAAATTACATGAACTTCCCGATATGTGTAAATAATCGACTTAATCAAAAAAAAGTGTAAATAATATACTTCATCAATCCTACTTTAAAAAAAAACGATAATAATTTTAGCAAAGTTTGACGAATTTTTAAAATTAAACTACTTGTTGTAAGGCCGTAATATTACAGTAAGTTCTATAAGACCATGATGTATATCGCCAAAAAAAGTTCCATGAAAAAAGGCTTAAATTTTTTTTTAACAGTTAATTACAAGAAAACGGCTCGGTAGATTTTCACCTAAAATTAATCAGTATCATTCCCAACCAATATCTTTCGAACAGTTTTTGATTTTTTAAAATCGGTTCGGTAGAATGAGCTTAAATGTGGACGAAAATTTAACACTATTTTTCAATAGTTAATTACAAGAAAACCGCTCGGTAGATTTTCATCTAAAATTAATCAGTATCATTCCCAACCAATATCTTTCGAACAGTTTTTGATTTTTTAAAATCGGTTCGGTAGGATGAGCTTAAATGTGGACGAAAAGTTCAACACTTTTTTTCAAATTACAAAGAAACGGCTTGGCAGATCGTTGCACAAAACTGACAAACGATAGTCCTCACCGAAATACATCAAATGGCTTTTAAATTTCTAAAATCGGTTCAGGCGTTTTTGAGAAAACGTCGAACAAAAGTCTAATTTTGACAAATGCCAAAAAGACCATACTGATTTTTGCAAACTTTGACGAATTTTTAAAGCTGGACCAGTTGTCGTAGGGCCGTAATATTTTAGTATGATCTAGAAGACTATGGTATCTATCGTCAAAAAAATAATCATAAAAATCGTCGAAATTTTTTTTTTAAAAACTTTATTACAAGAAAACGGCCCGGCCGATCTCTACCAAAAACTAATCAGCACGATTCCCAACCAATATCTTTCGAACGGTTTTTGAATTTTCAAAATCGATTCATAACTGCGGGCTAAAACGTGGACGAAAGAGTTTTCACTTCTCTGCTATTTACGAAGAAACGGTTTGGCCGATCGTCGCACAAAACTGACAAACAATAGTCCTCATCGAGATACATCGAATGGCTTTTAAATTTTTGAAATCGGTCCAGCCGTTTTTGAGAAAACGGCGATTTACGGCAAAAAATCTGTTGGTGCACACGCACACACACACACACACACACACACACACACACACACACACACACATACTTTTTCCAAATTTGTTCTCATTCGATTCAGAATGGCTTGAAACGTCGAGAAAACATAAAATTAGCGAATCGGATTTTTTGATGAAAACATAAACTTCTCCTTCGGGAAGTTAAAAAAAAGTTTCCATCATGGGTTTTGCTGAGAAATATGAAGCAAGAAAAGCTATTGAAAAATATGATACTGCTAAAATCGTGGCACTGTTGAAACTGGTATGTTAAACTTTTTTTTATTTATTAATTAATAATATTATTATTATTAGATATACAAAATTCGAAAGAAAAGCTCAGGTTTATTTTTATATTGGGAGTTAAAATATATTTTAACGTATATAACGTATAATATTTTAAAGTATACTTTACAAATTAGATCTGAAAAATTTAGGCACTTACAAAACTTGTGCACTAATTTTTCTGAATTATATTTTAAATATTAGCTATTTATGTATTTATAGTTTTAAGCATATTTAATTTTTCAATATTTTCAAATTTTATTTTATAAATTTGTTTTTACTAGAATTTGCGAAATTAACATTTTTATCTAACGTTTTAATTTCGTTGAACTGTGACATTATCTCAGACAATAAAGAGTCTTTTAGATAGCACTTCCAATTTATCTAATCTTTTATATTTAACCATTAATACATAGAAGTCTTAAATGATGAAAGATAATTTTTAAACACCGCTGTTTTATGATTTGAATGATCAAAAATTCAGATTAGACAGATTTTATATAGATTTCCTAAAAATTTAACAATTTTTGCGAATATAGATTATATGTTCAGTTCAATTTACAGATTAAATTATTTATTCAATAAATATTTTTGAATTCACATAAAATGTTTGCCAAATTGAGAAATTACTTTATGATTGATCTTTTAAATCATTTTGATTTTGCTTCAGTAATTTTTTTATTTTGTATTATTATTTTTATATAAATTATTAATAAATATAATAATTTTATATTTTTAAATTAAAATATTTATTTTTACTTATTTTTTTATTTTTAATTATTTGTACTGTACAAATTGAAAAATCTCCTTTTTCAGTATCATTGAAGTATTGAATCTAAAACAACTAAACTATATTATATATATATATATATATATATATATATAATATATATGTATATATATATTTATATATATATATATATATATATATATATATAATTTTTCTAATTAAGAAAATTTTCATTTCTAGTTCGGTCTTGAGAATTGCTGTAATGCTATCGAATTATATCAAATTGATGGAAGAGCTATTTTTGTAAGTATGATATTCAATTTAATTTGATATTAGGAAATAAATATTAATTTATATTATATAATATAGTAATTATTATTACCAGAATAAGTTTTATATTATTCTTAATATGTAAATAAATTTTCCAACCCAATAAATGTTTACATTTGTTATAATTTTTTAATAGGGCTTGAAACAACATCAATTGCAATTTTGGAAAAATGAAATATCAAGAAGTGATTCCGAAGCTCTTCTGAAATTCGTAAATCAATTGACAGAAAATCCTGAAACGTATTACAAATATTTTCTCGAAGCCACGATTGGTGTGAAGAATAATAATGAAGGGTATGAATCTGATGATAGTTTTGATTCTGTAGACCAAATTTATCAAAATGATGAAGAAGATGATCTTCATGGTTCAAGTTCTAGAATTGAACCAGCATTTGCTTACGAAAATGATGTTAGAAATGAAGGACGTTCGCCTTCGTTGCCTGAGAAACCAGACCGTTTCAAATCTCTTCCCCAAAAAGATGAACAACCTACCAGGAAGATTTCTCACGTAAATTCAAAACCACGAACAAAATTGCCAAAAATTATTTCAAATTTACACGAAAGCAATGGTTTTAAACAACCTATTAATACTGAACCTGCACCAGAAGAAGAACAGATTTTACAGGTAAATTTAATTTGTCAACCAGAACTTAGATAAATCAATTAATGACGCTTTGCAGAATCTTCTTTCATGTCCAAAAAATAAATAACAGACAATCAGAACTTTTCCAATTGATTTTCATCAATTACGAATGATAAGAAATTAAACTGTTTTATTTAGTTTGCTTGTTAATTTTGTAAATTTACGTTTTATTTATTTAAGGAAGAATTAGACAAATTTCTGCGCAATTCATCTTTGAGTACCCAATTAGCTCAAGCTTTAAAAGAACGTTTAAAAAATACACAATCTTCATTGTCTGATCACTCATCTTCTACGTCTGAAGATCAAAATCGACCAACAACCAGTAATTTTAATGAACTGCGAAAAAAAATCGAACGCTCTTTTGTTCCTAACATAAAAGAAGATAACATCATACCAGAAGTTGGGGAAGAAGATGATGGGTACGCCCAAATGTCACCAAGACATGCTTTGTCTTCAAATATTCAGGTAAAGACCTTGAAGAAAGTATTAAATGAACGAAATTTGCAGGTAACGATAAAAAAAAATATTATTTGAGAATTTCATAAAATAGGTTTAGCCTGTTTTATAAATATTGATGTACAGGAGTTGTTTTATAAATTTCTGTTCTTAGCAATTGATTGTTATGAATCAGATAAGGAAAAAATAAATAAAACTGAGATAATATTTTTGTAAAATATAATAACAAGCCATTTCAAAGAAATGTTTAATTAAGGAGTCATTTATTTATATACTAATCGGCAATCTACAGTAAATATGTGTATTTTTTTATTTCTCAATACTTAGCCTTTCATGTGCAAGCTAAGATCCAATAATATAATTTTTTATATCATTGCATTAAATAAGAAAACACAAGATTGCACACAATTGATCAAAACATTTAATAATAAAAATTCCAAGATATTTAATATGAACTCTAATTATCTTTAAATGTTTATTAATAATATAATCTTTATATTATTACAGAATAAAAAGTCAACTAGCAGATCAATTAAAGAATTTAACGAAGATCGAGTTAGTCACTATGTAAGTGGAATATACACAAAATTTTGTATATAAAATTTATAAATAATATTATTTTTAAACAGTTAACTAATATTCTTACCTAGTTTATATATTCGTATACATATCAACTTGATAACTACAAATAATTATAGTTAAGCTAAATGAAAAAACTTATTAGAAGTACTAAAATAATAAATTGTAAATTTCCTAACTGTGCTTTTTTCTTCAGGATTCACCAAGAAGTAATGCACCAATTTCAAATAATGAAAGATTCAAAAATAAAAATCCGCATTCTTCTACAAGTTCATCGAATTTAGTCGACAAAAATACTAATGATTTTACAAATGCGAAAGAAGGAAAGGTTTGTTTTTACATTTTATGAACAAAATTATATATGTTACTTACTAAATTTTTTTTCAGGGAAATCAAAAATTTCAATCGAGTTTGGATCGCGTGTTATCATTTAAGAAAAATCTGCCTTTGCAAAAGACTGAACCTGAGAGCGATGATGATGAATATGTCGTTCCAATCAATGAAGGTTTATTTTAATAATTTTAATAATAAAAATATTTTTATTTATGATTGTTTGGTTATGATTTGCTCCCAAAAGGCAAGAACATTTGGTGGGTCTTACGCAATTTAGGGATGTAAAATAATGCAGAATTCATTTAAGTAATTTAAGGGGGTATTCTTTGATGATCTTCCAAAAAGGCAAGAACAATAAGCAATTTCCAATAAGCAAAATTATTGCTTTAATCAATAAAACAATAAGCAATTCGGTGAGTTCCAAAATAAGCAAAAAACAATAACATTTATTAGAGATTTAGTAGAATTTTTATTTAATTAACTTCAGTGGTTATTTTCTCTGATCTCCCAATAAGCAAAATTATTGCTTTAATCAATAAAGCAATAAACAATTCTCGGAGCTCCAAAAATAAGCAGAAACAAGAACATTTGCTGGGATGTAAAATAATGTAGAATTTTTACTTAAGCCACTTAAGGGGGTATTCTCTGATTTCCCAATAAGCAAAATTATTGCTTTAATCAATAAAACAATAAGCAATTCTCTGAGCTCCAAAATAAGCAAAAAACAAGAACATTTGTTGGGTCTTACGTCATTTTAGTGATGTAAAATAATTTGGATATATTTAAGTAATTTAAGGGGGTATTCTTGGATCTAAAGGTATGAATATTAGGTTTTTGAATGGCTGCCAAAAAACAATATTTTCACTATATTTTTTGTTACATGTAATTAATGAATTCGAGAGTATATTAAATAATAAAAATTATAAATATAAAGTTTTAGTTATAGGTGGAGATAAAGTGGGAGGGGGTGATCTTAAATAATTGGCACTTGATCTGAATAATAATATGTACTTACAATTCATCTAGAATAATTTTGCCATTGTATGACGACGTATTAGTTCAATTTTTTTTTCACATAGTGACTGTCTGAATAAAATTGCACATAGTGACTGTCTGAATACAATTACAAAATTTTTTGATATTTGATAATTTTTTAAAAATAGTAAAAATTGGTAGTCGGGGTTAAGTTTATACTGAAGTTAAGTCATAAGACTCTGTGAAAATTTCAATAAAATTGGTTCAGTAGAAGTAGGGAAATCGTGGGTAGCGGGTAGCCTATCAAAAAATAAGTTTCAAGAAAAATGCGTTTGGAGCTTCGTGGAGGAAGAAACCATCAGAGGAAGATTATCGTGGTCAAACAGCTAATTCTTTGAAAATATTTTATATTATGAAACTAATGAAAATTATGAAACCATAACGTTTTTTTTAAATTTAGACCAAAATATCTCCTTAATAGTGATGTCTAACCAACCTGCTATCATGCGCGCAATTTATAATGAATCTTTTTTAATATCATTTCAACTTATGATTTTATCTAATTTTTATATGCATTTATTCAGAATTACCAATTTCTTCACCCGGGTTTCGACCATTACCATCGATTCCAATTGCAGAAGTAATTCCTCAAGGGAGAGCTCCTCCATTACCTATTGCAAACGACTTGGACAGTTTTGAAAGAGAAATAGAAGAAAATCCTAATTATCGAAATGTTACGAGACAAGATGGAATATCTTTGCTTGAACAGAAAAAGGATGGGACTTTTCTAATCAGGCCATCAGAAACGGTATGAAAAAAAAAACAATTATATGAATTATGAAACTTTTAAATAGAATTTAAAATAGATTATTTATTAAAATGCATTTAAAAATATTTCTATAAAAATCTATTAAAACCGATATTTTAAAAAATCGAATAGTTTTCCATAATTTTTTTTACAAAAACCGGGGTTTAAACTCTAATCATTTTTAGATCATATAAAATATAATTTTATTTAATCTTATTTTGTTAAGTGGAAATCATTTTTCAAAAATCTATAGATTATAATACCAAGTTTTAATTATTTTTGAATAATTTTCTACTTAATTTTTTTTATCAAAAATTTATTAAAAATTTCGATCAATTTGTTGAGTCTATAAAATTTATTATTCAGGGTTCAGGATATGCTTTGATGTTTCAATTTCGACGTCAATTTTATAACATCAAAATCATGAAAAAGGAAGGTGTAAAATTTGCTCTTATGAACAACAGGGATCGATCTTTATGTTTTAGCAAATTGTCATCTTTGCTAAATTATTACCGGGAAGGTGTTGAATTGTTATTATTACAAAGCGGTGATAAAATTTTTGGTGAAACTTATTTGTATCCATTATAAACTCTTAACACATAATAAATCTAGAAAACAATCTTATTGTAATATACTGCATAAGCCATATACTACTTATATGTAAAATTAGAAGATACTCATTGACTGAAAATTTTAATTCAAAATTGTATAATTTTATTAATATACTCGTATATACATATATGCTTCATTGATTTATTACAGATTAACTCCATGTTTTGTAATTTAAAAAAAATTATATTGTTTAAACCTACAATTTAATTAATTCTGCATGCACTATTCCATTAAAAAAGTTATATTGCATTTTGTTCATAATAATGGCTTATATGAATATATATATATATATATATATATATATATATATATATATATATATATATATATATATATATAGAGTCGAGTCTGGATGCTCGGTATGGGCGTGTTTCTCGTCTCACAATTATGTATTTTATAACTTTTAGTCAAATTAGTTTCAAATCTTTTAGTTATTCATAATTTTTTAAAAAAATGTTTTTCTCTAATATGTTATTAAGTTTAATTTTTTAAAATAAATTTTTGTTGAGTGTTTTTGTCCTGTGTTGCTGAATGATGACACGCATCTTGTGTCGAAACGTATAAATAAAAGTATTTACACTTTATACCTTTTTTATTTCGACGAATGGGCTGCTAGTTACTTTGAAATATATATATATATATATATATAACAAATGTATTCTAAGTGCATAGATATATATTAATTTAGAAATATGAACAAACACCACTCTTTTTTGCACTAATTTATTAAATAATAATTTTACAAACGTTTCGAGACTAGGTTTGTCTCATCATCAGTGTGTTATAATTTAAAATCTAAAATATGGAAACCTAAATTAGCATTATGTGTTATCCGTTACAAGTCGTTCACTATACTGCCCTACCAACGATTGTCGGAGTCTGAATTCTCTACTCAAGGTCAAGTGGTAAGTCACGCAATATCAAATAGGAAAGAGAATTCAGACGATCGTTGGTGGGGCAGTATAGTGAAATATGAAGAATAAATTATATTTTGGATTATATATTATTAATCGAAATTTTGGAATTTTGTAGGTTTTTTCTGAAAACAATTAATACACATTGATAAAAGAATGATTCTACAGTTTGGAACATAAAGTTTAAATTGAACATTATAAATATACTTATATTGTTTGTTCAAAAATGAATATATAAAATACTTTTTCTATAATGAGAGGGATGATTTCACCGGTAAAATAATTTGCAGTAATAAATTATATAAAATTAACAAAGTTTTGTCTGAAAAGTCATTATCACATTACTATTTATGTAATGTGATAATGATATATAAAATTAACAAAGTTTTGTCTGAAAAGTCATTATCACATTGGTATTTATGTTTAATATAATATTTTTAATTTGTGAAACATACTATTTGCTGCTTTTAAATTTATATCTGAAGATATTATTGAAAATGTTAATTATAAAATTGACTAAAAGATAATATATAAACTATTCTATATTAATTGTTTTTAAGTTATATTATGCTTCTATTAGATATGACGAGAATTTTCGATATTTTTTTAATAATTATTAATTAATTAAGTTTCCTGGATAGCTATTATTTTAACGTTCTGAACTAAAAGCTCATAATAACTAATTGTTTTCCAATAATAACTAATTATTTCCCCATTTAATTGTGCATTGGAAAATCGTTAAGACTCTTAAAATTTAACTCTATCAATTTTATTATAATTAAATGTGTATAATATGTAAAAATGTAAATATGTATAATATATTTTTTTATTTGTTATAAATAGTTCTCGAAGAAGGAGTCAATCCATAGTCAATCCAAGTCCTCAAATCGCTGAATAAAATAATGGATTTTTTTTAAATGAAATAGCATTTTTGTGGAACAAACTTTATGCTTTTAGTTCAGAAGTAAATATATATATATATATATATATATATATATATATATATATATTTATATATAAATATATATATATATATATATATAAATATATTTATATATATATATATATATTTATATATATTTATATGAATATGTAAAATACATATACATATGCATGCTAAGTTATGATTCTTTGTCGACGAAATGCACTGTGTACAATTTTTTGCCTTTGTAGAGGTTTAAATATAAGAAAGCTGTACTTATCTTATTTTTATACAAACATATGTATGATACATATTACACTAATGAGATATTATTCTAGCATTTGGAATGAAAAAACTTAGGAAACATTAGCTGCAGCTGTAGAAAATATTCTTCAACTACACAATGGAGCACATGCATAGTGAAACATGTAGCTGAATGAATTAAATATAGTTATAATTTAAATATTTTAATTACAAGTTTTTAGTGAAATAAAAATGTGTCATAATTATGAATCGTTGCTGTTTGGGCTTAATTTTGTTAGTATCAACTAACTTAATTCGACGTCTTGCAAACGACGCCATGGATTATTGTTGCTCCTTATGGAAGACTAGTACCTCTGATACAGATTCTGGGAAAGAGACTATATGTAAGTTATTAGTTTTATGAATTTAATTTATGAAGATACTAATAAATAATTGTTTAACATTCATTTTGCATAATCAGTCTTCGAAACAAGTTTTGAAAACTTATTATGCTGACGTTATTTCAACGAAAGGACACCAAATATTATTACGACTTTGTCTATATAAAATTAGAAAAAAATTAAAAAGAAAGAATTATCATATGAAGCTAAAATAAGTTTGGCTAGACGTGGTATCAAACAAGTTTTTTGTTTAAATCTTGCAGTTTTTTTGAAACAAAATATATACAACAATAACGTTTTAAATTGTGATTTGATTTTATGGAGCTTGCAATAAAAAGAGTGCTTCTGAAAGTGTAATGCTGAAACATTAATGAATCTCATTTTATTTTTAAATATTAATGTTATTATAAATTTGAGAAAAAGTAATGCTCTCCTTATTAACAATTTTCAATATTAAATTAAAACATTATCTTTAATAAGTTGTGAAAACTAATTATGATGATATATGGAAAGGACACATATTAGTATTACAACGTTGCCTGTGTTTGCCAGATCATATAAAACCAGTTTTTGTATAAAATTAGTAATTTAATTTATTAATAATATTTTTCAGAACAAAATATATACAACAATATAGTTTCGAAATTGTGATTTGATTTAATAGAGTTTATGAGAAGGAGAACGCTTCTAAACGTATAAAGCTAAAAAACTAATGATATGCATTTTCCCATAATAATAAAAATTTAAGATATAAATTAATGCAATCTCTATTTTTATAAAAAAAACTCACAGAAGAATCAAAAAAAAGCTTATAAACCTAAAATATCAATTTGGGTTAGACAAGATATCAAATAAGTTTTTATTCAAACTTGCGGCTTTTAAATAGAAAATATCTACGTGTAACTATATATTTATGAATTTCTGATTTGAAATTTTTATAAATATTTTGAAATATCGTCAATGTAATTTAAAATTCATCAATAATAAAAATTTCGATCAATAATGAATATATTAATATGATATAAGTAATTTTTCATAGTGGGTGCTTGATTACACAAACTTTTAGATTAATAAATATCATACAGACTAATAATCACTTGTTAAATATTATCATTTTTTCATGATTTTTTAAAATATACTTGTTTGATTTATAAATATAAAAACATATTATATTCTATTATTTAATTACAAAATTTTCATTTACAGCCAGAGCAAAACGCGAGTTGCCTCCAACACCAAATACAGATTTTCCAGAATTTATTTCATCAAGATTAATAAAAAACAATCAGGATCCTATCGTTATTTTGAGGTACAGAGAAATTGAATTAAACAATAATTTTAGGAGGATTTCTAGAAAAGAAGGAAAATATATGTTGCAAAGTAAACGTGATGGTACTTTTATAATCAGACCATCTCGACAAGTAAGTAGAATTTATAAATTTTATATATTTATTAATAAATATAAATTCATGAATTTTACATTTCATTACGAAAATATTAAAAATGTTTATTAGACCTAAGTCACTATTTTTATATATTTTATAATATTTTAGATAACAATGAAATTCATGTTTATGTATTCTCACAAATTTTTTGGTCTATTTAAATTAAAATTCAACGATTTTTTATTCTACATTCTTTTAAAGAATGAAATTATTATATTAACTCGATCCAGAACTCCGAATTTCTTACAATTGTCTACTCAAAATCACTTTAAATTACATACAAAATTCACTAATATACAATTTAAAAATATTTGTATGGTTTCACTAATGACTATTTCTATAATTTGGTATTTTATTCGTTACACGTTTAGTTTTATAGTTCATATTTTTTTTTAAGAATCAGGGCTACACAATGATGTTGCAATATGATAATCAAGAATTCAACATCAAAATCCGAATAAGATCAGATGGTGAATTTGCTTTGGGAGTTCAGAGAGAAAATGAAGACTCTTTTGAATCACTAGAATCTTTGATAAAATTTTATAGTCCGGGAATAAAAATGCTGGAATTGTATCAGGGATGCACCATTGTGGGAAAAACTTTTTTGTTTTCGTTATAAAATAAATATATTTATTACATGTATAAAATAATATTTCAGTAATTACTTGAAAGCTAATTAAATAATTTCATAACGCAACCTAATAATTATAATAAATAATAACATAACGTAATTTAATAATCGCTCGAAAATATCGATGGATATCTTATTAAATGGTTTAACTAAAATTAAGTTCAAAATTTAAGTTTAACTAAAAAATAAAAAAAATCGTATTATATTTTGGAAGCATTTTTAGTCAAGTTGAAGTCGCTTTGCCAATTAGAATATTTTTGAATAAATAAATATTTGACAATAATCCTTTTTAGGCAGTAGAACTTAGGATCTGGGTAATAGATATAGGATCTTTTAGTGCAAAAATGAACAAAATTTAAATGAATAATATTAGCAATTCGATATAATCCATAAGTTAATCACAAAAAATGATTTAATGAA